TCTCCTGTTCCACTAGATGCTCTCCTTTGCGGTATATTGAAGTCAATCTGCCTGTTCTGCTCCCCACTTTGATGAATCCTCTCCCCCACAACCCCCAACGCCTCGTACTTCTGGCCTGTATGCATAAGTAAATAAATCTTAAAAAAAAAAAAGAAAGAAAGAAAGAAAGAAAAGTGCATTTAACAAATTGGAATAGGTATCATCAACACTGGCTATTGGGATGGGAGAACAAAGATTAGGGGTTGTGAATGTTGTTTTATGTATGCTCAGTGAGTTATTTTAGTTCTAGCTAACTTTCTAGCTTATAGTTTCCCCATCTTTTTAGGAATTCTCCAAAGGAACTAATAAAAATGAGGTCTCAAATAATCAGCACATCAATAAAAGAGATGATGATATCTAGCTCTTTAAGTTTTACTAACATTACTTTAATATCTATAGCTATTTTCAGGAGCATCTATAGAATATCTTGTTATGTTTGTAGTCGCCTGCTGGTTAAGTCAATAAATTTTAGATTTAGGATTTTTTCCTACAAGCTCCACCAACACTTGTTCCAGGGAAGAGATTTGTCTTCTATGCTCCAGCACATATTTGTGTTTTGGATTATTCTTTTTTTGTGCCAGGGGGTGGGGTTGGGGGGGTACCTATCTAGGGTTTGCATTTCCATTTATCCATAAAGTGGTTAAAAACAAACTATATATTAATCTCTAGGCACAACACCTATAAAATCTGGGCCTGGAGGATAATAGTTCAATGTTATTGCTTCTTTCTTTCTTTTTTTTTTTTTTAGACGTTTGCTCTTGGAATGCTCATTTTTATCTGCTTCTGTGTACGAAACAAGTGTATCTGTCTTTATTTCATTTTTAAAAATCTCTCTCAATCTCTTTGTGTCTCTTTGCATTTTCTCCCGTCTTCATTTTTTTCTTCTCTTTCTAATTCAAATTTTCTCTTAAAAATAAATAATATGGTTAACAAATATTTATTGGACACCTACTACATGCAAAGTATTATATTGGTGTCACTACATACAATAGATGAAACTTGAGGGTGACTGTTAAGATGATGTGGCAGCTACTGGCTTCATGTGATGAAAGTGTGATTTGTATATGTGTGTGTGTGTGTGTGTGTGTATGAACACAGAAAGAGAATTTGTCTTCTTGGTAATTTAGAAGCGATAAAATTAATTTTTAAATTTTATGCTTGCTCTACACTTTATGGAAACATAGATTCCATAATAAATGGGAATCATCTGCCAGGTGGGGCAGATTATATAATGAAGTGTAGACAATGCCTGTTGGATTTGAAGTATCTAAGGGGATGTTTTTATAATAAGAAGGGTGCTGAGGTGGACAGGCATCCCTCCATCACAACCACTGTCACATGATTGCTTTGAGGGACACAAAGAAACACAAAGTCATTAAGATTATTCTTGCCTTGTATATGGTGTCATAATATTTAGTGATGCTAGATTTTCAAGGTGGAAAGGGATACTTCACATGCAGACAAATATAGGCATATGATGTAAAGGTTCTGACTTATCTTTTGTCACTTAGCTTCTGATTTGAGGCTCTTAAATGTATTTTCCTATAGTAATCAATACAATCCAGATTCACCTGCCAGATAATTATAATTTCAGAACAAAAAATCCATTCAACTAAACTGCCTTAAAAAGGATGAATTTTTTTTAGCTTTAATACATTTTACATATTGTGGTTAAGTCGAAAACCATAGAACAACCAAGAGTTGTAGGAAATTGCTCACCATCGGCAGAGGGAGGCTCTGTTTTCCTAGATCTCACAGTTACACTGGAAGACCTGGACAGGTCAGTGCCAGTCCTCCACACTCGCACTTCCACATAGCCTGTGCTCTCATCCACTGAGTACTTGACATCACCAAAGTAGAATGTCGGTTCTGGTTAAAACGAAGGAGAATTCACTTCTGTTATTTCCTTTACCACATCAAACTCCACCAATGTAATTTTTATTGGTTCTTACATCATCACATACTTTTCCTGTTTAGCAAGATAACAACTCTTTAACTGGAGAATTTATATAGTTTTCAGTTCAAAATGTCTCTGTTGAGGAACAAAAATGCAGATGGTAAGTGCCCAGTAAAATGTTTTAATCTGGTAGCATGTGTTATCTGACTTTATGTGGGATTATAAATGCTTTCTATTTGGACTTCTTGGAAGTTTAACAGTAAAAAATAGAATCAAAATGAAACAAGAGAAATGAGAATGACATTTTATGAGTTTGATCCTACTACTCATTTCATCATCTCCTCCTGAATCTTTATCCTGGAGACTATTTCCATCATGACATCTTTTAACTACCTAATGGGCCATAATTCACTGTATTTTGGTCTGAAATCAGCATGAGAGCAACTACTGGTGCAAAAAGACTGATTACATGTGGGTTCTGGAAGCTTAGAGCCAGGTCTTGTCATCATCACTAGGGCATGACTGTGGGTTACCTGGAGGTCTGCAGTTCCAGCAGAGAAATAACCAGACATCAAGGGGTTCACATTGCCTTAAATATGTGTAAAATTAACGTGATTTGGGTCAATAAAGTAGGATACATGCTTTGGAGAGTTTGTATTTTTTTTCAGTATTGGTGATGAATTGAACTAGCCATTGCTTCCAATATGATTCCATGGACAACCATCAATTTGTCTTGTGAGACTGTGACTAGAAGTTTGAGGTATAGCAAGCAGTTAGCTCACTAGTAAAGAAAACAGTGATATTGTGTGTGCTTACTTAACCATAAAACAATTATTTTGAAATTTTTATAGATTCACAATAAGCTGTAGAAATAGAGTATATGCTTTACCCACTGAGAAATTTCTTTATCAGCAACCATTAACAATGATAAAATAATCAAGCATATACACATATGAAGTGAATGGCCCTTTGACTTGAGACATTTTAGTCATCTGTGCCTGGTTTTACAAGACTGAAAAGAACTGAGTCTAAAAGGTCACACAATTCATACCAATATTCTTAAAACACAAAGCCATTTTGGAGATGTCCAGTTTGTTTCAGTGCATCTAATCAAATTAGCAAGCACATAACACCAAACAAAACCCTACAGTGATGGCTCAAAATGAAAGGAAACTCATTCTGTGCACTGCTCAAGTTGAGTAAGTGTTCTCAATTTTCCTGCCCCAAGAACATTGTTGTTAATAAAATTGGAAATTGTATTTTCTTTGTTTCTTCATGTAGGGGCATGAGAAAAAGTATAATTCTTCTCCCAAACTCTTGAATGATACCAAACCCAACTTGGAAATTTTGTTTGCATACTTTGGTTCATGGAGTGATAACTCTGCCCACAACATACTTCACCCCCTTTTCAGCCTTTCAACTTGGACAGTGCTTGGGCAGGTGAGTGTGTGTGTATAGATGAAGTTGTTATCTTAGTCAAAGCAGACCTCACGTATACGCCAATAAATTCCTTACATTTCTCATGCCTAAGTAAGGGGCAAAGGTGAAGACAGCCCCCGATGCTTATTTTGTCCAGATGGCCAGCCCAGGCACATCTGTGTTTCTTAAAAGGCGTTTATAGTTGTTATTGCAGTGGGTCTGATCATCTATAGACAACAGGGCTCCCCAAGTCGCTTCATATTCCTGGCAAACTATACTATCATACAAATTAAGCTTCTGAGAGTTGGGAGGACCACCTATTCTATAATTGAATAATGATACCTTTCCTTATTCCTCACAGATATACCTGGAAGTGGAACAGAATGAGAGTACACAACTGTGAAATACTCAAAGCTCTTTACCTTAGAGACAAAACTGTCTTCTTTGTAACCCATTCTGTCAACTGCAATCAAGTTTGTGAGGTAGACAGAAAAATAAACAGATGGGTAAGTATGGAATATGTTGAATTTTTTTTATCTAAGTTATCATTCAGAATAAAGGGTAAGGATAATAGTCACCGTATATAGAACATTCAGTATGTGTCTGATGTGTGCTTTATGTGTGAGTGTGTATGTCTGTCTGTGTGTGTGTGTGTGTGAGAGAGAGAGAGAGAGAGAGAAGAGGAGAAAGGGAGGAGAGTGAAGTAGGAATCTACAGCACGTGTAACAAGTAATAAATTATGACTTATGTGAATGATTGAATCATATTATCATATTACCTATTGTATAGGATGTCAACGCCAGCAGAAAGAGGGAGAATGAGAAAAGGTTTTAATTTTCAGTACCTTAATTTATCACAGCAGCTAATAGAAGACATACAAAAAGATATTTATTTCCTAAAATGAATCTCTCTTAAATCAGCCGATTATATTTATATATGTAATTAAACCTTCTAATCTGTACTCCACTCATGATGACTGGAAAAAGCATCCATTAATCAACTGCAATCATTTCTGTTAAAATAGAAACAATTACCTGTGAGATCAGACACAATTTCATAGTTTTAAGATAAATAATTTTTTGTCAAATACCTAGTTTCTTATGTCATGAGTAAACAGAAATAACTATGTATTAGCACCTATATCCTTTCAGTAAAGGTGAAAGAGAACTGAAATTGTTATTTCAATTCTTGATACCCTTTCAAAATATCATTAAAATCTAAAATGTCTATAGAAGTTATAGTAAAATTCCTTCAAGAACTGAGCCGATTTGTAGCTATCACTCAAGGTAAATATTATGTTTTGAAAGCATGTCTATGGGTTCTATGTCATGAGCAGATAAAACAGATAAATGAGTGAAGACTTTCAATGACTGAAAGATATTTATGAAAAATCCAGAAGAACTGCTTGCTTGAGCAGTTCATTATAATTTATGAGTAAGATTTTAATTCCCCTCTCTTTGGTAATATCTCTGTTTTTGTCTAGGAGCTTGATTTCTTTTAGAAGTAACTGTAGATACTTGCTAATTAGATTTGGAAATACCCACATTAAAATTTAATGTTAATTAGAAAAAGTTTATTAAGTCTGCAAGCAAGTCTGAATATACATTGTGCTATGTAAATTCCCATCTTAGTGGAGAAGACAGACAGGGGCTGACAGTGATTACCTGGAATGAGAGCAAGATCAAATGAAACCATGTATCTGCCAGCCAACACCCCATAAAAGTGATTCCACATCACCCCCCACCCACCCACCCACCAAACACACTTCACAATGTTTTTATTCTCTTGGTAGAGTAAACATAAATTATATCCAAATCGGTTAGGAGCTGATGGGAGGGAGGTTTTAAACTGGCCTCTTGGAATAGTGTGAAATTCATAAAAGAGGTCAAATTGTACACTTTGCATTCTTTGTTTGTTGACCTTTTCAGTAAAGAACCAGCTCAAGACACAGCCTCCAGAAGAATCTATTTTAGCTCATTACACATGTAGATGCTCTTCAAATTTGGGGGTACTTTCACTATACGCAACACACAAGGGAGCATGTCTGTTTTCTGTAAGTGTGGCTGATTAGGAGGCTTAGCCAGACACATAACACACCCACCTGCAGCAAACATGAAGGGAAGATAATTTAAGTTTTTTTCCCCCACAGGGAAAAAATGAACTTTTTCTTTTGGCTAAGTCTGCAGTGTCTAGAATGATGTTTACCATCACACTGTGTCTCATGAGATGAAAAGAGAGGTACTAGTAGTAATTGCCATCTGGAGCCAAATCTTATTTACTCATGTGTACATGGATCATCAGTCAAGTAAGCTCTGTAGCTTTAACTAACATGTTTGCTCAGGACCGAAGAGATGAAAGCTTTTATGCTGTCTTTTGGTTCAGTGCTGAAAATAATACAAAGCAACCTCCTCCAAATTATTTGCAGTTCAGATCTCTCTGCTGAGGTTTAGACTAGATAACCACATGTCCATTCAGCCAAGTGCCACAGGCACCTTGATCTACTTTTCCCAAAAAGAGTAGACACCAGTCACCTCTACTTCCAACCCATGGTTTCACTCTGTCCCACTGCCTATACCCTAGATGTAGCCACCATCAACTGTTAGTTGAAATCCAACAGTCTTTATCCAAGGAGTTTACAATTCAAAGCATTTCTCATCTTGGTAATCTCTTGGCTGAAAATCATTCAGTGTCTTCCAGTGTTGTTAAGATTGTTTGATTCCTAAGCAAGACACCAAAACATCTAGTCTCAGTTTTCCTTTTAAGCTTCATGGTCGTCCCCTTCACACTGTCTTGAATGGCCTTAATGTGATACTCCCAGTCTCTGCCACACCACCATCTTTGCTTTGAGACCTTCCTTACCCCCATTAGGCTTCATGATGATAACTCCTGTTCCTTTTAGGCTTGAGTTTGGAAGTCACTCATGGGCCTCCCTGGTGGCCTAGGGTTAAGTCTCACTACTATCACCACTATAGCCTGACACACATGGCACAAAAGACCTCTTTTCTCTTGCCTGATGCTCCCCTCAGCAGTGTATTTCAGTAAATCCACTTGTTTTGCTCCCCACTCTAGAGGTTTCTGGTGAATCTTTGTTCCCTCCACCCACCCCCCGACACACCTCTGGCCTATACCCAGGTTCTTCTATGCAAAAATTAAAAAAAAAAAAAAATGAAGCCACTCATCTTGGGAAGCACCCTGAATTCTCCATAAATTCCTCACCCATCTGCCACGATCATTACATGCTTGTGTTCCCATGACCTAAAAAGCTCTATAAGATGATTTCAGCCTCCTTTATTCACATTAAGTATAACCAATGTCTGGCAGGAGGTGCTTAATTAACATATGCAGAAAATAGGATGTAGATAGAATGATTTGTCAGAGAGGATAAATAAAAGTGTCTCCGGGGTGGAAGTTAAAGACCTCTTTTAGTGGGAGCAAAGTGCACCAAGAGGCCTTCTGTGTAAGACTGTCCTCAGTCTGGAGGAAGCCCACAGAGGAAAGGGAACTGACTCATAAATAACTAATCAAAAAGACCTGTATTCCTATTATTTTTTAT